CTTAAAACTCTGAAATCATTAGAGGAAAATGTAGGAAAACACTCAGAAAATAATATAAACAGCTGACCAATGGGGCCTCATGAATTTGAAAGGTTTCTGCACAGAAAAGGAAAGCATTAAAAGGTAATAACATAACCTACAGAATGGGAAGAAATCTTTGCTGGATAGGTATTTGACAGAGTATTAATATCTAGAACATACAAAGACTAAACAAAAAGAAATCAAATAACCCAATAAATAAATTAGCTTATGAAATGAAAAGACATTTCTCAAAGAATGAAAAATAAATTAAAACTACATTAGAATTTCATGTCACCCAGTCAAAATAAGAGTCAAGAAGAAAGTAAATAAAAATGTTGGCAAAGAGACGAATAGAGGAGAAACTTAAAACACTGCTGGTGAGAATGTAATCCAGTCCAGACACTATGGAAATCAATATAGAGGTTTCTGAAGTGGGCAAAAATGGAGTTACAATATGACTCAGCTATCTTACTCCTGAGTATTTACAGAAAGGACTCCAAATTCAACACATCACAGAGATGCACATCAATGATTATTGCATGTACAATAGCTGTATTATGGAACCAACCCAGGTGTCCAACAACTGAAGAGGAGAAATGAAAAATGCAATTGATATTTTTCAGACATAAGGAAAGAAGTTTTATCATTTTAAGATAATGGATGCAGGTGGAGATAATCATTTTAAGCAAATTAAGCTGGTCTCCAAAAGACAAATATGTTTTCTCTTTTTTATGATTCCTAGATTGTAACTACATAAAATCATTTATTAAATATTGTGGCAAGGTATAGATTAATGGAAATGGATTAATTTAAGCTGTAAGAACAGTTAGCAAGAAGCCTGCCATGGCCATACAGTTTGTAACCAATATAAGTCTCTGTGTTTACTTGGTCGGGTCTGAGTGGCTGCAGGACTGGCGGGTGACAGAGATTTGTCCTGACTGTGGGCCAGGTAGGAAAACTCTAGCTACAAATGGCGTCCAACGTGGTGGCAAGAGTTTCCACCTAAAAACTGAGAGAAAAGATTCTAAAACAGAGCTAAAAACAGTTCCTAATTGTCTCTCTCAAATGAGCGGCAGCTGCCGGTTTGAGCTACTGGTGGGTTCCTAGCATGCACGCTCGACCTGCAGTATGGCAGGAATGAGGCCTCTGCAAGTGGCAGATTAAGCTGCGTGGTGGATTTAGCCTTTGCTAGTACAAAACCAAAAAAAAAGAGGTTTCTGGGCTACATGCTGCTTGGATAAAAGCGTAGACCCACGATAGCTCCCAGAGCTGGTGGAAAATTACCACCGCCATGTTGGGAAGCTGAGGTGGGCAGAGCCAGCAGCCACAGCTGCTGCAGTTTAAAGCAATAGATTCACAATAAGACAGATTCAGATGTAACAGTTTACAATGTGTGTAAAATATACGTAGGCTTGAAAGAGACAAAAAAGGTGATATATACAGTTATAGAAACAAATACATAGTTTTAAAAAATAAAGTCTTTAAAGAGACAGTAAAGTTAATATAAAAAATAAGCCACATGAAGATGAATATTACACAGAGAATCTGGATTGTGTTGTCTTTGGGATTTTTAACTGCAGAAAAACATTTGATTGTAAAAGCTGTTGAGTTATGCCAAAATGTATATTTTAAAGATACCTTGACTTCAAAATTTGGATGTAAGGATGTGTTGCTTTGGAAAGGAGACTATGCTTTTGTTCCCACAGAAAGCCAGAGGCTATGGATTTGTTCCAGATTAAGATACATCAGGTTTGACCAGCCAAGACCCCCTGAAAGGTCTCCGATGACACCATGGCCCAGATGATCCAACATTCAGAATGGTTTCAAGGCAACTGGCTCAGACGATACAGCCTCACGAACTACTCCATGATCCTAAAATTTTCTTTGTGTCCCCATAAGATACAGCACCCCCCTCCAGCAGGAAGTAGTAAGAGAAGCTACGCCCAAATTCCCAAATTATATGTAATTTTACTTTGTTAAGGTTAAAACCTTCCTTTTTGAAAAAAAAAAAGGGGGGGGGGTGCTGTGGGATGTTCTGTATGGCAAATGTGTTGCTGATTGGTCAATAAATAAAACACTGATTGGCCATTGGCTTGGCAGGAAGTGTAGGCGGGACAAGGAGGAGAATAAAGCTGGGAAGTGGAAGGCTGAGTCACAGAGACACTGCCAGCCGCCATGATGAGAAACAGCATGTGAAGATGCCGGTAAGCCACGAGCCACGTGGCAAGGTATAGATTAATGGAAATGGATTAATTTAAGCTGTAAGAACAGTTAGCAAGAAGCCTGCCACTGCCATACAGTTTGTAACCAATATAAGTCTCTGTGTTTAGTTGGGTTTACTTGGGTCTGAGAGGCTGTGGGACTGGCAGGTGAGAGAGATTTATCCTGACTGTGGGCCAGGCAGGAAAACTCAAGCTACAAAATATGACAATAAATTAGTGGCAAAATATTCTAAGGGTACAAAAAAGATTACTAGAAGAAAGGAAAATGTAGGCATGAGAGGAATATAGTCAATGTATAATATATACATACAAATATACTTTTATATAGTACAACATCATGTATAATGAATATTCACTAAAAAATATTTAAGTATATTTACGGAGCGGGGGTGGGGAACTCTCAGAAGATTGCTAAGTGGGTGGAGGTGCTTCCCACATTAAGTGTGAAGACCTGAGTCAAATTTTCAGAGCCCACACAAAAGCCACATGTGTAGTACAAGTATCTGTAATCTCAGGGTTCATAACGAAATGACAGATGAAGACAAAGAGAAACCCCAGAATCTCAGGACAGCTAGCTAGCTACATAATAAAGAAACCACATCTCAAACAAAGTGGAAGGTAGACACTGACATGTATGGTTGTCTTCTGACCTCCACACTCACACTTTGGCACTTGTGCCCACATTCATACATATAAATGTGCATCCACATGTACAGACCCACACATACACACTGCACATACAATAATAAATATATAATAATTTATAAAAGTTTTAAATAGAAGCTGAACAAAAGAACTCATAAAAATTTTTTTAAAGTATCTAGAAATAGGTAAGATTATAAACACTCCTAATTTTCAAGCAAATACACACACACAAGTAATAATGAAAATGTTCATAGATAATAAAGGAGAGAGGGAAATATACACAGAAGGATAAACAAACAAATGAGTAAGTTAAATACCTGAGACACAACACAGATGTCTGAAGTAACTTTATAGTAATTGGCTAGGTAAAGTCTCTCTAAAGGACTGTGAAATGTACAAGCCTCTGTATGAAGACTAGGGGCAGCTTTCGGTATATTCCATTACTACAACCACTGTGGGAACAAAATTTTAAACCTAGAGACTGGGACTCTAATACTAACACTCTTGATTATTTTCCCTGACTATGGAAAATAACCTTTCAAATTACTTACGTAACTGTGAACAAGTTTCCTTCTATCTAAGAAAAAAATTCTAATAAATATATCCATGGATCTAAGTGCAAAATTCTCCACATATCAAAAATTCAGTGTTTCCTAAATTAACCTAATCAAATGATCTCAATACATTATTTTCATGGGACTTTGAAGCTGATCCTAAAATTCATGTTCAAGAGGAAAAAGAACAAATAATACCAGGGTACTTTTGATTTTAAAAAAAGTACCAGAGTAAGGGAGTTAACTTTAAAAAAAAAAAAAATGCCCCAGTGAGGAGATCAGCTATAACAACAACAATAAGAGGGCCCATAAGATAGCTCATCAGGTAAAGGCATTTGCTGCCCTACAATGTAAGCCTAGTCACCCGAATTCAATTCCCAAAACTCATGTAAAGGTGGAAGGAGGGAACCAATTCTACAAAGTTGTCTTTTAACTTCTACACACATGCTGTCCCACACATGCACTCCCCCCCAACAATTTAAAATTGAAAACATCCAGCTGGGCGGCGGTGGTACACGCCTATAATCCTAGCACTTGGGAGGCAGAGGCAGGTGGATGTCTGAGTTCGAGGCCAGCCTATTCTACGGGTCAGATTCTACTACAGATTCCAAAGCTACACAGAGAAACCTTGTCCCAAAAAACAAAAACAAAAAAAACCCAAAATTGAAAACATCCAAATAGTAACATAAAAATAAAATTAAAGTAGTATTACTTAAATGAAATGTGCCTTCATATAAAATAAATTTATGACCATGATGGCATTTCAAATCAGAAAGGTAAAGCACTCCTAGTGACTAATGAAGACAAAAACCCATTGGGAAAAGTTACTATTATCAAGAACTGACGGTGTAAAAGTAAAAACATCTATGTGAGCTCGGTCTGTATAAATAATACCCAACAAAACACAGAAGCACATCAACAGGAGCTCAAATTAGGGAAGATGTTTCAGAATTCAAGTCATAACATGATTTTAAAATTCACTATATGAAAGACACTATATAAACAAAGTTAGAGCTAAAAGATCGGGAGAAATTTACAACATAAATAATAATGCATTACTGCTCACTGCCTACACACATATGTGGAAATAATCAAAGCAAAAGTGAGCAAAAGGTTAGAAACCTCCCATTCTTACATTTCTGCATATAGGTGGACTAGATTTACTGCAGAGCAATTATACAACACCAGAATTAGACCAGCTCAGTGTAAATCATCATTATAGCCACAGAATCCATCAAAAAACATTTTTAAAGCGCCATAAAAACCAGCAATGAGCACATCCTGAAGAAAGAACGGCCTCCTAGGCAATTCCCTGTGGCTAATACAAGTCTCTGACACAGAAGAAGAAGTATCTTGAGCTGTCTGGATGAGAACTGGAATAAAGTGGTCGCCATTCATCTCTGGTTCCTACCACAATGATAAATCTTCTATGGAATTAAGAAAACCGAATTTAGATCCTCAGGTCAATTCTGACTTACCCATACACTAAAGTTAAAATTTCAACTACAGTTTTCATTTCTAAATGTCCCATTTAGATAATCATAGATTTAATACATACTCAGATTTAAATATTAGTATCCAACATTTGATCATGCAGTGGTTGAAGTCACTGAAATTCCAACCGTGTAGCTTTCCCCTGTAATGTGACTCAGGATGACTTTGCTGTACATCCTCATCTCTAAATGTGAACACATACATGAATATCATGAAACAATGTAATGACATTTTTTAAGTGCTGAAAGGCCCACAAATGTCATTCATAATTAGAATCTTACTCTTGACATCAGTCTACATAACCTAAAATAACCTTAAAATATTAGAAATGATAAGAAAGAGCAGTGGTAAAATCTTTTTAGAACCTTGAGTTTCTTTATATCAGTAAAAGAAAAGGCAATTATCAAAACTATTACTTACAATAACCAAAAGGTACTTAGAAATACCACATCTATTGGATATTTACAACAAAATCGTACACATCTATATAAATAAATGACAACACTTTATTAAAAGTATTAAAAAGACCTGTGAACTCAAAGTCAGGCCAACTGAAACCCTACAGAGATTGAGGGAACTCAACAAGCTGAGCTTAAAATGTACAGGGAATGGCAAAAGCCTACGTACAGCCAAAAGAAGGAAGAGGGAAAGAGGAAAAAAACAAGGAAGACAAGGACAGAAAGCAGACACAGCAGGCATGGTATCCGGTGCCTGAAACCCCAGAACTGCAAGTGTTTTTTCTATTTCCCTGGCACTTGTAGAGTGCCCAAAATTCACTGTGTTCTGCACAGCACTTTATTCTTCAGCGTGGGCTGGAGTGAAAGATCATACCCCACCCAAAGGTAGGCGTGATAACAAGAATGGGAGGAAAGATGCCAGGTGGGTTATTTGCTAACTGAAAATTTAAGCCCTTAAAAGCCCTGAAATACATATAAGAGATGGTGTGGGTCAGTGATTCTCCAAATTGGAAATAGGAACCCTAGTCCACAACACAAGAAAACTTAACAAATCCTGCTGACAGGAATATTTAAACAGAAGTAAAAGTTGGAAAAGGCAACAGTAAAGACTACTCACACTCTAGTTGGAAGCACTCTTAAACAATGTCGAAGGACTTCAAAAAGTTAGCAAATTCAATTACTTTAAAATTAAAAATGTCAGACCAAACTATATATCATATAAATGTGACCTGTAAAACACTAACTGTATATTTGAACAAAAACTATGAAAGTTGTCAGGTTTATACACAATCTACATAGGCTAAAACACAATCGACTGTAGACCAGTATCTTATTATCAGGATGTGTGTGTGTGTGTGTGTGTGTGTATTCATATGTATATACATATGAAAAATTGATAAAGCACAACAACTATTCTTCAAAGTTTTCTGTAAAGGGATTAATTATCAAGCTGCAAAGAGACCCAGATACTAAGGAATCAGTCCCAAGCCCAGAGCCTCACTGAAGCAGATCCATTTCTCAATCTAGTCTTTTCCTTGAATATATGCAAATTCTTGATATGGACAAGACACTAAACAGACACAAAACCAGCAGCAGCTAAGGAGCAGAAAAGCCAACAGAGCACCAGGTAATTTTGTGAAGATAAAGACAGAAAGTTAGAACTCAGAGTGTCCAAGGCTTGAAACATGGGCTATGAACCATATAAAGCAGTGGGCTGTTTACCAAGGAAGCATTCAAGGGAATATAAAAGAAGCCAAGGCCCTGGTGTGGAGAGGGGGGAGTTCTATGCAAAGTACAATAAATTTAAAGTACCAGGGCAATGAAACTTGGGGTTCACAGTCCAGCAAGGAAAGAAAAGCAGTGTAAGTCCCTACTGAAATCTTGAGGGACTACCTGATGGGGGACACCAAAGTCAATGTCTTAGAAAGTTGGAGCTGCCTCCCAGCTTAGATTGAGATGACCCCTTAGGGCTCCCTTCAGGTCTCTGAATTAACTCTTTCTAAAGGGAAACTGTAACAAACCCCTCCTGCAGCTGTCTGCAGCAGAACACCCCCGAGGCTCCTGTCTGTGAACACTTGGTCTCCAGCTGGTGGACTATTCAGGAAGGATTAGGAGGTGTGGCCTTGTCAGAGAAGGCAGATCACAGGGGGTAGGCTTTGAGGTTTCAAAGGCCTATGCTAGGCCCCATCTCCAGCTCTCTTTCTGTCTCCTCTTTTGGATCAGATGTAGGCTCTCTGCTACTGCTCTGGCCAAGGCAGACAGGCAGGCAGACAGACAGACAGCCTGATGCCAAGCTCTCTACCACGATGGTCACGGAATTACTCTCTGAAACTGTAACAAGTCCCCAATTAAATGCTTTCTTTATAAGCTACTTGGGTTATGGAATCCCTTCACAGCAATAGAACAATAAGAAATTTTCCAAATAACCTGGGTATTAGAAAAAGTAGGCACTGGCTTTACAGTAACTTCATTAATTATTAATTATTCCCATTGAGGGAAAGATGAATAACTATACCTCAAAACAATAATCCGTTTAAAAAAAAAAGAGGGCTTCCATTTTTGTCAGTTGCAAAATGTTTAATTAGTAACAATTATAAAACACTTTTAAAAACAAACAAACAATGCAGGCAAAAATTGAAAGGATGTCAACCCCTGGGGGATGGAAACAAATTGAGTGAAACAGGTACATTCCTGTTTTATTATCTGACCACTCCCTTTATGTATGTTTTCACATTCCTAGTGTCTTGAGGGATCCTAAGAACATAATGTAAAAATTGACAAGGATAATAGAAAAAGAAGCAAGCCGACAAACAGTTAGGTATTTTATTATTCATTTTGAGTAAGTTATAGAAAAAGCTACAAAAGTCTTTACAAATGTTAGGATGCAGATCACATTGGTACCATTGGCCACCTTTAACAAAATAACATTTAAAAACCTACCCAAACCAAATGCTCATGAGACAGTCATCGAGACTTACCATAATGAGGTTTCCTAGCAAATTTACGAAGACTAAAAATGTTCAGGTTATGTTCTCTGATCACAGACTGCTTGGGAAGGAAAAACAAAACACGTAGAGTCGTCTCAGATAACAGCACTACCAAATAAGAAGCAGAGTACTGACGAGAACAAAAGGAAAGCAAAACTCTTCATCTTCAGTACTTGGGGAAATTTGGCATTTTTACATGTTTAGATCAAGAAAAACTGATTTAATAAACAAAGTTTCCAACTTTAGAGGCTAGGACATGGGGAGCACCTTGACTCTGAATCTAACTTCCCATGTTAAGAATCAGATCAGTGGTAGTCTGGGGCCCAGGGTGGAATGTGAGGACTGGGTGGTTTAAAAAAAAAAAAAAAAAACCCTTTTGAGCTGTTGAAAATATTCTTTTTATCTTGATTATGGCACCTCATACATGGGTTTAGACTTTTGTCAAAACTCGCTGAACTGGAAAACACTATTGCATAAATGCATCATTGTCTTCCAACATTTCCTCTAAAACCAACACAGAACAATAGCTACAGCCTCTGCGCAGCCTGAAGACAAAGAATACCCAAACTACAAATTATTCTAAATTCTACAAATTATTCAAATCTCAGGGTAAAGCTACTCATCTATGATGCCTGGTATTTGCCCCACATGCCATGGGCACCCACCTCAAGCCTTGTGGTAAACAACAAAGGCTCCAGGAAAGAGAAAGTAGAGGTAGCAATTGGTATAAGGACAACATACACTATCAGAGAAAGGCAAATATAGTCCAAGTAGAGAATAAATGGAAAGAGATTCTTGGTAAGAGAAATGTAAAAGGAGAAACACCTTTTTTGAAGATTAAAGTTAGAAAAAACTCAGAGTGCTACAATAAAAAAGAGAAACCACTACAATAAAAAGACCTTATATCAAAAACATCTAGCCCCTAAAAAGATGAGCATCAAAAGGACTTTGAAATTGAACAAGGGGTCCTAGAACCAAGCCCTATGTATATAATGTTTTTTTTCCCTATACATAAACATCTACAATAAAGTTTAACAGCTACAATAAAAAGACTCTATATCAAAAAAAAAATCTAGCCCATAAAAAGATGAACATCAAAGGACTTTGGAATTGGACAAGGGGTCCTAGAATGAAGTCCTATATACATGATGTTTTTTTCTTACACATAAAAATCTAGAATAAAGTACAGGGAAGCTAATCAGTACTAATTCTAACAATACCCTTCAATAAGAGTTTCATGTGTTTCTCTCAGTCCTCACACTAACCTGTGCTCACCCTGGAGGATCCGGATAGAAGACACAATGCCTACACAAGGAGACCAAGCGAAGAGAGCAACACGGGCAGGGGACGCAGCCTGGACTACCTGAACGGACTCCTTGATAACTGAGGTGCCTCCCGAGTGACCAAGCAGTGGGCAGCATATCAGTTCTGCACACACTGGACAAGGGATGGGTCACCTGCTGAACATGATGGCACTAGACTTGGTCATGCCATTCAGAATGACACATTAAAACATGGATTATTTCTAGAATTTTACATTTAATATTTTCAGAGCATTTCTAACTGCCATTACCTGAAACTACAGAAGCAAAATTAGAAATAAAAGAAGACAACAGTAATAATATTCAACTTGTATAAATTCAAGAATAAACAAAAATGCCCTGTACCTGCGGTGACAAGCCTAAGAATAGGGACTGGCAGAAGCAGGAGACAGAGGTACATGATCTGAAGGGTGCATGCCCTGATAATGGGCATGCTCAGAGTACCTGAGTCTAGACAACTACCAGGTTTGTCAAATTCATTGCAAAAAGCATAGAAGATTTGTGCTTGCTATTTGTAAATTATATTCAGTAATTTTTAATTATATATTGTTATATTGCCCACATTTATGTCTGTGCACTGCATGAATGCCTTGTGCCCAGGGAGGTCAGACCAGGCCACTGGATCTACTGAACCTGGAGTTACACAAGGTTAGGAATTGCCATGTGGGTGCTAGGAATCAAACCATGGCTCTCTGTCAGGATTTTTAAAAGGTATTATTATCTGTTTATTTAGACATTATTCTTTACCATCATTTCCCCTAAAACTTTACCTCCATACATCAGACCCAGTTTTAACTGCTGATTTCCTTTACCTGAAGCATGCTGCTCCATTCTCTTTTATTTTATTGTTCTGAATAGATGTTTGAGCTTGAAGTGAGATGAGTTTATTTCCAGGCAGAGTAATTTGCTTTATGATGGAAGCTGTAAAAAAAAAAAAAAGAAAGAAAAAGAAAAAGAAAAAAAGAAAGAAAACAGAATTGGAAAAAAAAAAGCAATCATGTCACATTAGGAAAATTCAGGACAGTTTTTAGTAAATATGAAATAATCAAAGACTATCTTAAACTACCATAGAACTGTTTAAATTATAATAGGCTTGTGAATGTAATAACTGCATATGAAATCATCTTATAAAGATCTCTACATTATGTTTTTATGTAGTCTCAAATTGTCTTTAGAATTAGCATCACTATAAAAACATCATGCACAAAAAGCAACAGAAAAATGCTGACGATATTTTATTTATATTGGTCTATTTTTAACACATATTTACTACTAGAATGTTTTATCTAACAATCTATCATAAGCAGTTGTTTATTTCAAAACAATATATACCCCTAAAATAGTGTTTTTGTAATTATTAAGTGTTCTCTTAATACAAGAAGTACAAGTCCTGTCTTGTTCCAGATCCACTGTGATGAAGCTGGAATGCCAGCACCGACATGTAGGAAACTTACCAGTAGGCACTATAGCAGTCACTGGCATCTTCGGACCACACTTCTGAGTGGTCAATGGTGAGGAATAGGAAATGGTGGTCACTTGATTTGCATTGCCTCCTGAAGGCTGTTGGACTACCTGAAACAGTAAGAGTTCATTACAGTCACCCAAGAAAGCCCGCTTTAGCAATGAACAAGAGCTTTCATTTTTAATAGTTCGTTTTTATCTAGCTATATATACCTCTACCTAGCACAGTAAGAATGCCTACTTAAAATTTATCTCCAGGATGGCCTCTGAAACATGGGGAAATCTCCTTCCTCAGCTTCCTAAATGTTTGGATGTATACCACCATACCCAGTTTAATTTGTATGCAGCGAACTTACCTCATTCAAAACTGTAAAACATTATCACATACATTTAATATTATTTTCTACAGAAGAATTCAAATTTCAGAAAATAATCATACAAATCTTATTTTTATTTCTTAACTTACCATGGAAAATTTCAAACACATGCAAAAGTATAGAGAACAAAATGAAACCATTTATACCACTATCCAGATTAAACAATGATTAATTCTTGCATAATCATGTTTCATGTATACCTTTTACTCACTCCCCAATTTTATAGCAAATACAAGAAATTTTTGCTTATTTGTTTTTTGTATTTCTCTAGATACAGTTTTTCTGTATAGCCTTGGCTGTCCTGGAGCCTGCTCTGTAGACCAGGCTGGCCTCAAATCCAGCTACAAATCCTGAGTGCTGGGACTAAAGGCGTGTGCCACCTCCACCTTGCTTAGGAAATACTTTTTTATTCATAATATTTCAAAATATATTTATAAAAGATAAGGACTTTTATGTACTATTTTTAAAAAGTTTCATTCTTAAACCCTTCAGAAAGTACTGTTCTCCCAAATAATAGTTACAGAAATACAGTAATGGTTAGGGATAAAGAGAAATTAAAGTGCTAAAAATATTAGTACCTTTAACTTCAAAGAACAGACAGAAAAGCAGAATGTAATACTTTCACTTCAAAGAAGAAAAAGTCACCATGCATTTGAGCCAGCTACTGATAACAAGAAAATAAGAAGTTCTTAAATATTTCTATGTTTATTATAAAGGGTGATGGCCTGCCCAAGATACATACTTCTGAGTAAAAATTTACCAAAACAATTTGTTGTATAATGATCTGTAATAAAAATGTACAAATCAACTGTGTGCAACTAAAAAAAATATGTAGCAAGCAAGGCATGGTAGCACATATCTTTAATCTCAGCACTCAGGAGGCAGGAGGATCTCTCTGAGTTCTAGGCCAGCCAGGGCTACATAGTAAGATCTGTCTCAAAAAAAAGTAACAAGAAACACAAAGCATTCCTGTAGCTGAAAGTTTTCCTGTGTCTCACCCAGTCTGCAGCCGCTCACCTCCAAGTAAACACACAAAGGCTTACATTAATTAAAACTGCTCAGCCATTAGCTAAGGCTTCCTACTGACTAGCTCTTACACTTGAACTCAGCCCATTTTTGTTAATCTATATGTTGCCATGTTTTCCATGGCTTTACCTGTGTGCCATTACATGCTGCTCCCTGGACGACAAGCTGGTGACTCCTGACTCAGCCTTCCTCTTCCCAGAATTCTCCCTGTCTGCTTATCCCGCCTATACTTCCTGCCTGGATACTGGCCAATCAGTGTTCTATTAAAGCAGTGTCCAAAAGCATTATCCCACAGCATTTCCCCTTTTCTGTTTAATTAAAAAGGAAGGTTTTAACTTTAACATAGTAAAATTACATATAATAGAGCAGTTATCAAGCAAGAATTACAGTTACAATATCTAGTCTATTTGTATTTGGTAAAATTAAAGAAAATATTCTATTTATCTGATATTTGTGAGTCTAAAGTTTCATATCTAATTTTATCTTTTATCATAACCAAGGAAAACTATAATTATAACTATCTACTATCTAGTCTTCAACTACATCAAAGATCCCAGAAGGATATAATATTACATAAGTAAACAGGAAGTGCATTGTAAGCAACTTCCAAAAATCTAGAATGACAGAGACAGCTGGCTGCCTAGACAGTCATCCAAAGTCCCTCTGTAACTTTGGGGCATCCATCTTCAGCCATATAGGCCTAGAGTCTCTCAGTCACTTTTTTCTGTGTCCTGTAGAATGTCTGGCAGTTTCTTCTGCAAAGGAGGAATCTGAAGGACCATTTTGCCTTGCAAAGTTCAGTGGTTACTTTTTTCATGGGTACTTCATGTCCAGTCAATATAACATTTTCTCAAGCAGTCCAGGCAAGAGCAGTTTCTTGCTCAAATGGCTATTTTTGCCAAGAAGAAGATAAATTCCATATGGAGTGTCTTCGATGCTCATCTTTCTTTTTGAAGTAAATTGGTGCTGCCAGGAGCAGATATGTCTCACTGTCCAGAAAGTCTAAGTTTTTAAAACATTTTAAAAATTCTGTAGATCTTTGAATCAGTGTTTGAAGATCACCTATCTAATTGAAATATATCTATGTATACCTAGAAAACTTAACTAACATGACTATAAGTTTGATTATCATAACTAATTATTAATCTGTATTTCTCAGCTATACACTACATTTTCAAATGAGTTGCACAAACAAAATACTTTAAACAAGAGTAGAAATATATAGTATAACAAAATTAAATTTGTATCAATAAACTAAAATCCATAGGAATGTAAAACATTTCAAACAAGTTGTTGCTCTTTTAAAGTAGATTCAATAATCTACCCTTTCACCCTATCATATCTACTTCCTATATTTCTGTATCATATCCTTTCTTCTTTTAGAAAGACATTGACTATGACCAGTAACAATTTGTAACCAACAACCTAAACAAAGACAAACATCCATAATCCATTTTTTGGGAATTTGGGCATAGTTTTCTAGGCTACTTCCTGCAGATAAAGGGCACTGTATTCTTATGGGGATCCTGAGAAAATTAAGAACTATGGTCAAGTCCTGAATGAAATAGTATGTGAGGCTACACTGTCTGAGCCAGTTGCCTTGAAACCATTCTGGATGTTGGATCATCTGGGCCATGGTGTCATCGGAGACCTTTCAGGGGGTCTTGGATGGTCAAACCATATTAGCCTGGAAGCAATCCACAGGTTCTCATCTTCTGTGGAAACAAAAGCATAACCTCTTTTCCAAGGCAACATACCCTTATACATAAATTTTGAAATTGAGATACCTTTAAAATATACATATTAGGCCAGGCAGTGGTGGCGCACGCCTTTAATCCCAGCACTCAGGAGACAGAGGCAGGCGGATCTTTGTGAGTTCGAGGCCAGCCTGGTCTACAGAGTGAGATCCAGGAAAAGCACAAAACTACACAGAAAGAAACCCTGTCTCGAAAAACCAAAGGGAAAAAAAAAAAACCGTATTAATTTAACTCAGCAGCTTTTAAAATCAAATGTCTCTCTCCAGTTAAAAATCCTAAAGACAACATAATCCAGACTCTCTGTGTGATTTCCATCTTTACGTGGCTTATTTTTTATATTACCTTTACTTTCTCTTTAAAGACTTTATTTTTAAAACTTTTTATTTCTTTATATAGACAGTTATATAATTGTTTCTCTCTTCCAAGCCTATGTATATTTTTACATGCATTGTAAACTGTTTAGGGTTTATCACATCTGAATCTGTCTTATTTTGAATCTATAATCCTTTTCTGGCCAAGAGAGATTTAAAACTGCTAAACTGTGTTTTTAGGACTGAAGTGGCAGCCTTGGCTGATGACTTCACTCATTTCAGCTTTCCAACAGGGCAGAGGTAATTCACCTCCAGCTCTGGGTCATGTGTACCAACAACTCTCGGAAGCAGTGGGCCTACACCTCCATTAAAGCAGCGTGTGGCCCAGAAACCTTTTTTTTTCCTTGTCTGTATTAGCAGAAGCTATATCCACCACTAAGCATACTGCATAGCTTGGAGATGCCTCTGTGTACTGTGGTAGAAATCCACTACGCTGTAAGTCAAGCCCACACGCTGCTGCGAACCCACCATGTTGTAGTTCAGGGCTTGCCTGAGACACACAACTAGGAAGCTGTTTTTAGCTCTGTTTTAGAATCATATTTTTTAAAGCTTTCTCAGTTTTAGGTGGAAACTCTTGCCCCATGTTGGGTACCATTTGTAGCTGAAAGTTTTCCTGTGTCCCACCCAATCCATAGCCACTCACATCCAAGTAAATACACAGAGGCTTACATTAATTAAAACTGCTCGGCCATTAGCTAAGGCTTCCTACTGACTAGCTCTTAAACTTTTTTTTTTTTGGTTTGTCGAGACAAGGTTTCTCTGTGTAGTTTTGGTGCCTGTCCTGGATCTCGCTCCGTAGACCAGGCTGGCCTTGAACTCACAGAGATCCAAGTGGCTCTGCCTCCTGAGTGCTTGGATTAAAGGCATGCGCCACCACCGCCCGGCTAGCTCTTACACTTAAACTCAGCCCGCTTTTGTTAATCTGTATGTCACTACGTTTTCCATGGCTTTATCTGTGTGCCATTACATGCTGCTTCCTGGACGGCGGGCTGGTGACTCCTGACTCAGCCTTCCTCTTCTCAGAATTCTCCTTGTCTGCTTATCCCACCTATACTTCCTGCCTGGATACTGGCCCATCAGTGTTTTGTTAAACCAGTGTACATCCCACAGCACATTCCAATGTCTCCATTGAGAAACAACGTAGGATGAAATAATTCAATTGCTATCACTATTGGTAAAAGAGGCTTCCTAGCAATGGAGATAAGTTGGAATAATTCACTTGCCATCATTCTTTGATAAAAGTTGTGTTATATGTTTGTTCTGTTTTTGAAACAGAGTCTCAAAACTAACTAGGCTGGATGGGCTTTAAAAATGTGTGATCCTTCTGCTTCAACCTCCTGAATAACTAGGATCATAGTCCTGAACCACAAAATCAGGCTAGAAAAGAACTCTTGAAAAAATAATATATTTTTCAATTGAGATATAAATTGAGATCTGAGATCACATACATATTCTGAAGTACTAGGGCTAGGCCTTAAAGTTCATGAATGCACCTTTATGCATTAAGACTGACAATCAAGAAAAGAATCTCTCTTTTGATCTAGGAATCTTGGCCTCTACCAATCTGCATTCTTGAGGAT